TTTTTGTTTGGTGGGCCAATACGCCCATAAGAAAAAAAAAAAAAAAAAAAAAAAAAAAAATACTCTCAAAAAAAAAAAACAAACAAAAAAAGAAGTAAATCCTTGGGGCCAGGAGATGGTGCAGTGCTGGACTCCCACATGGCCACCCGCCATTGCAGTCCTGGACCTGAGGGCTGGAGACTCACGCTGGGCACATATGCAGGCATGCCCAAGATCCCAGGAGGAGAATAGACAAGGGATTGTAGCGTCCACCCCCATCAGGAGTGTTTTCGCACTTGCCCTGTCTTTGTTTCTGTCTCCCTCCAATAAACACATGTGCCCTACGGCAAAACTTCTTTAAAAAAAGAAAAGTAAATCCTATGGACTTAAACATTAACCTCACATTGGCTGAAGAAGAAATCACAACAGAAATCAGAAAATATTTTGAGCTCCATGTTAAAATCCACGAGGTGCAACGGCGGTGAAACTGGACCCATGGAAAAGGTTTGCATCCTGGGACCTCCCTAGGCATAGCAGGCCCAGGGGTGAGTGCTCTCGTGATGTGCGACAGCTGAGCCGCGGGGAGGACGGTGGTAGGAGGTGAGCATCATCTTTGGGAGGTCTTTGCGTTTGCCGTTTCTGTCACTTAGACTTTGTCCCCCATATCACGGGAACGCAAATATCTCCTAACGCCGTCACCTCCTGACCCCACCGAGTAGGCTAATGAAGACCTCCTGCATCCCACCAATGAGCCGCAGTCCACAGCTGTCCCCTCAGAGCTTTGTGTAGACGGTGGGGGTGGCTGGAGTTTCAAGTATCTTTTCGTCTCCAGAGGCAGCCCAGCGTCTGACCTGGGGCCCTGTAGGAGTGTCTAGTTCTCGCAGCACCTCCCTGGGGGAGAGGGAGAATCATGCCTGGGTCACGAGAGGCACCCGGCATGGGAGGCCAGTATGGAATTTGGAGCTTCTGTTTCACACACGGACGTTCCCTTGGCTGGCTGCCTCCTGTCTGGAATCTGCGGCCCAGGGTCAACACTTTCTCGCTCGTGGTAAGGAGCCCTGGTGGGGAGCACAGACTTCTCCTAACCCGCTTTCTCCTGCTAATTACAGAACTTAGCCTAGGAACCAGGTGTTTATATTCTAAATCTTAGGACAAATCTTACTCACCGAATTCAGCTGGCCATCATCATCGTGTTAAAACAAAAACTATCACCTACGTAACTATTCACATAAACACATACAGCCACCAATTAAGTTCAATGTTCAAAAATTTGCTACTTCATCTTAAATGCCTTTCCGTTTCATGCATGTCCTTGGTGAAGATCCAGTGTGCTCTAAACTTACACACACACACTTTTCTCTATGTAGCTAATACTTTAATTAACCTGCTGGCTCTTCGATTAAAAAGTTAATTTTTAACTTTATTTTTTGCCAGCTAGTGGCCTCGTGGTTAGGGTGGCTGGGTTACATATGGCCAACTGGGTATTCCATTCAAGTCTCAGGCCCAGTAGCCTGAGACGCACATCTGAGGACCCAGCAAGTGAGCTACTCCGGAGTGGCTGTACCGGGGCTCCCTCCCTGGTTCTGTCGCAGGTCCTCGCCCACAGGTCCATGTGACTAGACTACTTGTTCTGTCCTGTAGTCAAATCTCTCCAGCCCAGTTGTTGCACATCTGGCCCTAGGAGGTTGGGAAAGGGATTAAACACCTGAAGCTGGCTACGACATCTTCCTTAATGGGAAGACACAGCCCTCTACCCAGAAAAGACCTGAGAACTATAGCTGTCCCAATCCCTGCCCCAGTATAGAATTTACTCCAAAAAAGGTGTCCTTTGCCAATTGACTAGAAACCAGCACAGAGAAACAGGAAATATGAGAAAACGAGGAAATACCTTCCCCTAAGGGAACACACCAACTCTACATCATCCACAGAAAGCACAAGAGAACTCACAGAAATGTCAGAAAAAGAATTCAGACTATTCACAGTGACAAAACTAAGAGATATGCAAGAGAAAACAGACAACTGACTCCAGGAGATGAGGAAATCATTCCACGACTTGATGGATGGGACAGACACCATAAAAAAGAATCAAACAACTTTTAGAGATGAAGACTTAAGGCAGGAAATCAAAACCTCCCTTCAAAGTATTAATAGAGGTTAGACCATGCAGAAGATCAAATCTCTGATCTAGAAGACAAAAATCTCTGACTTAGACAAAACTACCAAAAAGAAGAATAAAATAACCAAAAAAAATTTATAACATAAGGGAAATACTAAATACCATTAAGCATCTAAATATTTGAATAATTGGTATTTCAGAAGGTGAAGAATCTAAAAAGGGTATAGTCAATCTATTCCATGAAATAGTTACAGAAAACTTTCCAAATCTAGAAAAACATTCAGATATCCAGACCCCAGAAATACAAAGGTCCCTGGGACCAGCAGATGGCATAGCAGTTACATTGCTGGACTCCCACGTAGTCAACTCTGGTTTGGTCCTGGACCCAGTGATTTGAAACTCGGGCTGGGTGAGTGTGCGTGCATGCCCAAGATCCAGGGAGGAGAATGGAGGAGAGAGATTGCAGCGTGGCCATCCCCTCTGGGGGGTGATTTCTCGCTTTCTGTCTCTCTGTCTATGTAGCGAGCGCACATGCTCCAAATAGAATCAACCTAAGGAGATCCTCTCCATGGTACCTCATAGCCAGACTGGTCAAAATCAGAGACAAAGACAAGATTCTAAAAATGACAAGAGAGAAATATCAAGTTACTTACAAAAGTATCCCATGGGGCAGGCAGGTGGTATGGTGGTTAAGGCATTATATTCGCACATAACTGGTTGCAGTTTGATTCCCAGACCTGGCAGCTTGCTTTCTCACTTTCCCCCCATCTCTGTTCAAATGTTTAAAAAGTAATAATGAGACCGGCAGATGGCATGATGGTTACTTTGCTAGATTCCCACAGTCAACTGCGGTTCGAGTCCTGGGCCCAATGGTTTAAAACTCATGCTGGGCGAGTGTGCATACATGCCTCTTAGGATTTTCCAAGAGGAGAATGAAGGAGAACGGACTGTGATGTACTCATCCCCCCAATGGGCGCGTGATTTCTAGCTTTCTGTCTCTGTCTCTCCAGTGAGCGTACTCGCCCTATAGCAAAAATCTCTCCCCCCAAAAGTAATAATAAATAAAATAAAATAAATCTTTTCTTTAAAAAATATTTTATGTAACTTTATTTATTCATTTTAATTTGACCAGAGAAGAACGGAGAGAGAGAGAGAGAGAGAGAGAGAGAGCAAATTACCAGGTCTGGAACTGAACCACAGTCGGTCATGTGGAAGTCCAGTGTCCTTAACCATGCCACCTGCTGACCCCTAAATAAAATAATTCTTAAAAAAAGAAAGTGAGAAATCACCCCCAGGGTGCATGAACACGCCGCCATCCTGTCTCCTCCATTCTCCTCTTGGGATCTTGGGCACGCACGCACACATACCCAGCATGACTTTAAGCCACTGGGTCCAGGACTCAAACCGTGGTCGACTACATGGGAGTCCAACAACATAGTCATTATGCCAACTGCAGGTCCCAAATAAATAATTCTTAAAAAAAAAAAGTTTTTTTTTTTTTTTTAGAGGTTTTTGCTATAGGGCGCGTGCGCTTGCCAGAGAGAGACATAGAGATAGAAAGTGAGAAATTACCCCCCAGGGGGGATGATCACGCCGCAATCCCTTCTCCTCCATTCTCCTCTTGGGATCTTGGGTACGCACGCACACGTGCCTGGCGTGAGTTCTAAGCCACCGGGTCCAGGACGCGAACCGCAGTCGACTACGTGGGAATCCAGCGACATAGCCATTACGCTAACTGCTGGTTCCAAAAAAAAAAATAGTTTTAAAATAATGTCAGATCTCTCAATTGAAACACTGCACGCAAGGAAAGAATGGAAAGATATATTCTGGGACCAGCAGTCCAGAATAGAAAAGCAATTTCAACCAAGAATACTATACCTGGTAAGACTTTTCCTCATATAGGGAGAAAAAATGAAATAATTCTCAGATAAACAAAAATCGAAAGAATTCACCAGCCCTAGACCAGCTCTTCAAGAAATACGGAAGGGAGTATTATATAAGGGAAACGAACAGAAATAAGACAGACTGGCTGAATAGATTAAAAAAATAGGAGCTGGAACCAGCAGTTAGCGAAATGGCTATGTCGTTGGACTCCCACGTAGTCTACCGCGGTTCGAGTCCCAGACCCAGTGGCTTAAAACTCACGCTGGGCGCGTGTGCGTGCATGCCCAAGATCCCAAGAGGAGAACGGAGGAGAAGGGATTGCGGTGTGGCTATCACCCCTGGGGGGTGATTTCTCACTTTCTGTCTCTCTATCTCTGTCTGTCTGTCTGGTGAGCGCAGGCGCCCTGTAGCAGAAACCTCTCCCCACCAAAAAAAAAAGGAGCCTTCTATATGCTGCCTATAAGAAATGTACCCCAAGGATAAAGAAAAACATAGACTGAAAGTGAAGGGCTGGAAAGAGAAATGGATAAAGAAGAACATAGACTGAAAGTGAAGGGCTAGAAAGAGATATTCCAAGCAAATCCAAATCAAAAGAAGGCTGGAGTTGTGAAGATACCAGACAAACTAAACTTTAAGACAAAACCTGTAAGAAAAGGGGCCAGCAGGTGGTGTGGTGGAGAAGGCACTGTATTCCCACGTGGCCAACCATGGTTCCAGTCATAGGCCTGGCGGCTTGGTTTCTCTCTGTCTCCTCTCTGTCTCTCTCTTATGAGTGCATGTGTCCTCTAACAACTTAAAAAAAAATAACGGGGACCAGCAGTTAGCGTAATGGCTATGTCGCTGGACTCCCATGTAGTCGACCACAGTTCGAGTCCTGGACCTGTGGCTAAAACTCATGCCAGGCGCATGTGCGTGCGTGCCCAAGATCCTGAGAGGAGAATGGAGGAGAAGGGATTGTGGCATGGCCATCCCCCCTGGGGGGTGATTTCTCGCTTTCTGTCTCTCTGTCTTTCTGGGTGAGCGCACGCATCCTATAGCAAAAACCTCTAAAAAAAAAAAGACTGCTAGATATAAAAGAAGAGATAGATTGCAACACACTATCATTGCAGATCTCAGCACCCTACTGTCTCCTCTGGACAGGTTATTAAGACAAATAATAAGGAAAGAGATACAAGAGCTAAATGGTACCATAAATCACATGAACTTGACAGATGTCTACGGGACTTTTCACCCAACAACCATAAAATACACATTTTTGAGAGCCAGCAGGTGGCGTGGTGGTTAAGGACACTGGACTCCCACATGGTCGACTACAGTTTGAGTCCTAGACCTGATGGCTTGTTTTCTCACTTTCTCTCTCTTTCTCTCACTCTGTCCCTCTCTGGTCAAATTGATTAAAAAAAAAAAAGATAAATAAATTTAAATAAAATAATTCCTTAAAAAATATACATTTTTCACCCCCACATAGAACATTTTCGAAGATAGTCCACATAATAAGACACAAAACAAGTCTTCACAAATTCAAAATATGGAAACTCTATCCAGCATCTTTTCTGACAATAGTGAAATTAAACTTGAAATGAATTACAGAAAAAACTCTCAAAAATACACAAATATGTGGAAACTAAACCACCCACTTCTGAATGATTTTGTAACCACCGAACAAATTAAGAATGAAATGAAAGAGGGAACCAGCAGTTAGCGTAATGGCTATGTCGCTGGACTCCCACGTAGTCAACGGCGGTGTGCATCCCCAAACCAGCGTTAAAACTCACGCCGGGTGCGTGTGCGTCCGTGCCCAAGATCCCGAGAGGAGAATGGAGGAGAAGGGATTGTGGCGTGACCATCCCCTCTGGGGGGTGATTTCTCGCTTTCTGTCTCTAATGTCTCTGTCTGTCTGGCGAGCGCACGCGCCCTACAGTGAAAATCTCTCCAAAACAAAAAAAGAATGAAATGAAAGACTACTTGAAATCAGCACATGAGCACGAGAGATGTCAAAGCCCACGGGTCACAGCAAAGCAGTACTAAGAGGGGAGTTGACAGCAATTAGTGCCGGGAAGACCTGAAGGTGACAGATAGACAACCTAGCAACACATCTCAGGGAACTGGAAAAGCGACAGCAAAATCCCCTGGATCACCAGAAGAAAAGAAATAATAAAGGTTAGAGCAGAAATAAATGGAATAGACAATAAACGACTATACAGAAAATAAGTGGAAACAAAAACTGTTTATTTTTCTTTGTTTTTTAATTTACAAAGAAACCTTTAGTCATGCATTGATTTTCATGCATCAGTCCCAGCAACTACATTTTTTCTCTTGTATCCCACGAAAAAAATCACAAAAGACTTCATAGAATTAGTGCTTCCCCTCTGAGTAGCCTATTCATTAGCAGTACATGAGCAGTGAGGACTTCACAGGAATATTTTTATTTTGGGGATTATTTTTGAGACTGTAAATGTGTCCTGGGTCAGATCGGGCCAAGTTACCACACAGCGCCCACAGATAGAGTTTGTAGTTCAGCTCACCATGGTTCAGCTTTCTTCTCTGGGACAAACTGTCCATGGGGCCCGTCAGCATTGGGGGGCAGCAGGGCCAAGTACACTGAGGTCTCGGCACTTTCTTCTGGGCTCTTGGTGGCCTTGGGTCCTGCCAAGTGGGTTCTCACCCACCCTGGGCAGCAGGCATTCGGGAGGATCTTGTCTGCAGGCCTCTGCTCGCTCAGTGTCCTGGCCTGGATTCTGGACAGGCCTGTAACCCCGATCTCCCGTCACCCCACACGCGGTATTGGGCCGGCCCTCTTCCTGCTGCACTCCTTTCTTTGAATCTTCCACGAACTTGTTCATGAGCTCCACCAGCTCCTCCTCGTGAGGGTCTCACTTCGGAACTTCCCCTGCAGCTTGGGGCTGCATTTCTTCAGGGCTCTGACACTCCCCGTGCTAGGCACGTTCCCGCTCTGCCATGGGCGTTTGTAAGAGGCAGTAACTCCGCGCAGACATCTCGAGCGCCGGAAGTTTGTTTTCATAGTCACCTCTGCCGGAATATGAAACCGGGTAGGACCAGCAGTCTTGAAAGCGATGCCCGCGTCGCGTGCAGGAAGTCGCGCAGGGTGCGGGTGCTCTGGGGATCGTCGATGTCCAGCGGGCGGAAGCGCTGGTTCAGTCCTTGGGCTGCAGCTGCTGCACGGCTGCCCGGGCCCGCGCCTAGGCCTGCGCCGTGAGCACCACGGCCACCGAGAACTGCCGGGCACAGGTCTCGCACGATGGCGAGGCCGATGCCCTTGTTGCTCCCGGTCTCCAGCACTAAGCGGCTGGAGGACGACATGGCGGGACGGCGCGCGGGACACCTGCGTGGAAAGCTGACTTCGCAGAGGGCCTCGAGGGGCACGGGGTGTCCCAGACAGCGAGTCTGGCCTATTTTTCTAAAGATAAACAAAACTGACACACTTAACTAGCTAGACTAATGAAGAACAAGGAACCGATAAATCAAATTAGCAATGAAACAGGCAGTATTACAATAGACATAATAGAAATAAAAAAGATCGGGGCTGGTGGTGGCGGTGGTTAAGGGCACTGGACTCCCACATGGCCAAAAGTGGTTCGAATCCTGGCCCAGCAGCTTGAAGAACACACTGTATGCATGTGTTTACTCCCAAAATCCTGATAGGAAGGAGAAATGGAGGAAAGCGGACTGTGCCCCATGAGTGCATGCCCACTGTGGCAATTAAAAAAAGAAGAAACGAAAAGAAACGTATTCTCAGGAAATCATTTTTTCTTGAACATATTCCTACTCCTCTTGGTCCAGATGCTCATGGGGATAATGTGCATCTCCCAAATGGGGCTGCTTGCTCTCCCCGGGAGAGGGTGAATGGGTCTTCACTCCTCACAGCTACCTCCCACCATTTCACCCTCAAACTCCAGGAGTCCATATTATGTCCTCTGGCTGAGCACGGCCTGATGGGGTCTGCACACACCTGGCCACGGCCCTCCCCAGCTCCGAGTGGCCTCAAGTCTCCGCTGTCCCCTCTTAGTCCTCAGTCATCCACCCACATTCCTGGAAGATAACGTTCCCACCCTGGCGGCAAACTCCGTTTCTCTCTGTCAGGGGTCTCTCAGATGTCACGGCCTGCACTTCGAGCCCGCCCGAGAGACTGCGAGGCTTCGGCGGGGACCCAGCTCCTCCTCGCCGCTAAGCGGGAGCGCAGCACGGTGGACTCGACCACTTGGACTGGCCACTAAACCCCGCCCCACCGCCGGCTCCGAGGCCCGCCCAGGCCCCGCCCCTCGATTAGCCCCTCCCCAACCTTCCCTCAGCCTAGGCACAGTGCAGGCTCCAGGCAGGCCGGCTCTGGCCCGCCCTAGGCTCCGCCCCCGCCGGGAGCTGCCCGCGCCAGGCCCATCCTCCGCGCCCCGCCCGCTCAGTCAGAATTCGGCCGCGTTGCTCTCGATCCACGAGCCACTAGCTGTTCGTCGACTGTCTCGAGGTCAGTCACAACGAAAGTGCGTCAGCACGGGGACAGTCACAAGGCCGACTGGCCAAGAGCCCGCTCTCATCGCCGCCGGCCTTGGGCGGGCCTAGGGTAGCCGCGCACCAGGTTAGGCGCTTCTCGATGACGTCATCGCGGCTAGGATGCGCCTGCGCCTGCGCCTGCGCCCCCCGGGCCTGCGCCCTGTGGCTCAGCGCGCGCTCTGTCGTGGTTTGGTGCCCATCATTCTACTCAGGCATGTTCGAGGCGAGCTGAGCCAGACTTTCCCCGGGTTGGGTCACCATTGACCTCGCTCCCCCAGAGTACTCGGAAGGACGGCCTTGGTAGGGGGTTCCGCCTCTGGGATGACCTCCCCTGGTCCTCGGCACTGGGAGCCTTGCCCAGTACCCACCGGGCGACCGGACGCTGTGTCCGAGATGGTGGCCGCCTGCGGCTGTGGGGACTGCCGTCCACCTTCCTGGCAAAGACTGGGCGCTGGAGATGGGGGCTCCCGTGGGAAGGAGAGAGACGGGGCCGGGCGGGCACCCCATGGAGCTTCGGCGTCGGGGTTTTGCACTGGCTGGCTGCACCTGTCAGGGTGTCCTCGCAGATGGGGAGAAAGCCATGGGCTTCTGCTGCATCTCAGGAGGGCAGTTAGGCAGCGTCTCTGCAGGACCTTAGAGCCAGGCAGGGCCCCCTCTAGCGTGGCTGGAAACCAGAAAATCTCAAAACGGGCTCAATATCCCCCGTGAAGGTCAGTTGAGTAAACAGCACAGCCAAGGATTACACACCGTAGGTCATTAAAGGTTAGCCAGGCGTTCTGGCGTGCGCCAGCAATTCAGGAGGCTCAGGGAGGAGGATTGTTACTATTTTTTAGATCGTTATTTTATTTAAATTTATTTATTTACCTATTTTAATTTGACCATAGAGGGGGAGAGAGAGAGAGAAAGTGAGAAAGTAATCCACCAGGTCCCAAGGTTAGTACCGTGGTCAACCGTGTGGGAGTCCAGCACACCTAAGCACCACGCCACCTGCCGGTCATGGGAGGAGAATTACTAGTTGAGGCCACCCTGGGCTTCATAGTGAGACTCCCATCCTTAAAAACAAAAGTTACAGCATCCTGCAAGTGATGTGGTTGAGGCACTGGATTCCTGTTACAGTCTACTTAGGGAGAAGTAAGAGGACATCCAGACATAGCCAAACTTATTAGAGTTTATTGATTAAGCCGGCGGCATGTGTGTGTGTGTGGGGGGGGGACTCAAATCTCTCAAAACCCCACAAGCGGCATGTGGGTGTGTGTGGGGGGGGACTCAAATCTCTCAAAACCCCACAGTCCCTAGTGCAAGGTGAGGGGTGCTTATAAAGGCAAAGGTTGACGTGGCAATGACAAGAATGAGGAATGGCCTGAAAGGGTAAGGGGTAGGGTTTTACAGTATAAAAGCACAAGCAAGGACTTATGGAAGCAGAGCAAGCTGGTTAATCACTCCTAAGGGTATGTTCCATCCTTGCCTAAACACAACGGAATCTTGATGATCTTCAGGGCTCAGGGCAAGGGGTCTGGTGACTGACGATGACATCACTGAGGAACATCTTAGGGGAGGGAGTTTCGGGTTATCTAGCAAAGGCAGTGGGAATGTTAATCGCTGTGTTTACGCTGGGCAAAAGGAGGAAGCAAGAGAAGCGCAAGATGGAGGTCTATTTCATTCCCCACTTCCTTTTACGGGGCAGGGCGGGGTGATAGTCTCCTTTGACAGGTAAGAAGTTTCACCAATTTTTAAAAAGTACTTATTTAATTTTATTTATTATTTTTCTTCAATTTGACCAGAGAGAGAAAGAGAAAGCAAGCCTCCAGGTCCAGGATCTGAACCATGGTTGGCCATGTAGGAGTCCAGCACCTTCACCACCACGCTGCTGCCAGCCCCCAGTTTCACCAAATTTAAAGTCCAGTTTGAACTGACTTGGGCTGATTCCATGGTCTCTGGTTGCTGGGCACAGTTGCTCACGCGTGGGAGTGTTTGGTCGGACTGGCTTGGGCCATGGTTCATGGTGTGCAGCCACCAGCCACTAGGTTTAGTCGCTTATAGGCAGATCGTGATAAAGCACTTCCCGAGACAATGCAAGCCATGTACCGAGGCAGGACAGCGCTTGGTTAGGTACTTACGGAGATAAGGTTTCTCACAAAACAGAAACCATATCATTGTCTCCAACATCTCTAAGGACAGTCACTCTGGCAGTGCAGTGCCTGGTACATTTGGGCTCTAGGTCCAGAGGTAACTAGTATTTAATATTTAAAGGCTTTCATCCTGTAGGAGATAAACTGGGTAAGGAAATTGAGTGAACTAGAGCCAAGTCAAAATTAGAAGCACAGTGAATAGAGGACTTAACAGGGCAAGGGCCAAGGAGCCTACTCCCAGAGGCCGCTCTGACCGTCCCATGAGTCAGCAGCAGCCTGTCCCTTCTCTGACCATTTGGTCGTGGAGCTGCTGGGCCGTGACCCTGCCGAGGCCTGACTTAGAGTTGTCAGCCTCTGGAGTGACTAGAGCAGGGCTGTTGCTCTCTGGGCTCTGAAGTCTTGTCCAGAGGGGCCTTCCTGGCTTATTTTTATGGACCAATGTCCTGGTGAGTCCATGGAAGCAGTCCTCGTGGCTTAGTGTGACAGACCTACAGGCTAGCTTTAACAGTGGCAGGAGTAACCAGGACAACCATGTGAGGCCCTGTCTAGACTAGTTGGAGGGGTCCTCCCTTTTAGTTGTCTTACTGTATAAACATTTAAAGATAGTACAGTTAGCTTTGGAACGGTAACTTGATTAATTTGCAGCTCCTTAGACTTTTATAACTCAAACCTTTAACACCATACTTTAGACCTTTTAGTTTTGTCCTCTTTTTCCTTCTGTTCTGAGATAGAACAGAAGTTTTGTCCCTTTTTTTTAAGAGTTTGTTTTTTTGGAGAGGATTTTTGCTATTGGGCGCGTGCGCTCGCCAGAAAGACAGGGACAGAGAGACAGAAAGCGAGAAATCACCCCCCCCCCCAGGCGGGGGGCCACACCGCAATCCCTTCTCCTCCATTCTCCTCTCAGGATCTTGGGCACGCACGCACATGCACCCGGTGTAAGTTTAAGCCACCGGGTCTGGGACACAAACCGCGGGCGACTACGTGAGAGTCCAGCGACATAGCCATTACGCCAACTGCTGCTCCCTAACCATTCTATCTTAAGACAAAAGCTTTACTACACAAAATTCCTTCTATATAAAAACCTTTTCTTTTAACCGTTTTCACTAGAAATACATTTTTACAGCCATAACTCTTCTTTTATTCTTTATCTTATTTTCTTTGTTTTTATCTTTCTAACTTTAATCTTAAAAATTACCTTAGTTTAACAGACAAGTTTAATTACAAACATTTACCCCATTTATGTTGACCTTATTTTTGTCTATTGTTTTGAGTCATTTATAGAAACAAGGCTATTTAAGGTGTTTTTCTTGGAAGAAAAGTAAAACCAGGCTAGTCTTAGATTAGCTAGCCTCATTTCATCTAGACTGGACTATTAGACACCATAGATTTCCTCAGTGTTCCCAGGTTTTTCTTTTCCTCCAGGATTTGATTCCTAAGGGAGCCTTGCCTGAGGGTTTAGGATTTACCCGCGTGGGCACATTTCGAGATAACTCCATGGATAAGGCTATGTAGACTAGGCACGAAGCATTTTTCTCCTAAGCAGCTTAGCAAGCTTTGTTTTTCCCAGGTGGTATTCTGGTGTACCTCATCTGTGATGACTTGCTCAAGGGCCTTGGGGACTGTTGGCCTGCCATCTGCTAATGGCAACCCTCCTTCGGGTCCTCCAGCAGCCTACTGCTTGTGGGCCAGTTTTTCCTCCTCCTGAGTGTAGGAGGGTGAGGCTGGGAGGACAGAGGCTGGGGCGACTGCAAGAACTTTTAGTCGCTGATAGAGATGTCTCCCCTCCAGCTAGGTCTTATCGTTCTCTCTCTCATCACATGGTCAGCCAGCCTGTTTACTACTGTTCTCTATTATTATTATTAGTTATGAGTGTACTTTTGGAAACAACCTTAACCTCTGATTTAGACAGAAATTAATCTTAGTCACTTTAAGGGTTACCCGAGGCTTGTCCAGTGAGATTGTCAGATATCCAAGGGGAGCCGTTGGGGTCTTGGGCCCCATCAATCCTCAATTTCAAAGGCCAGCGTAGACTCCAGAAGTCCAGAGCTCCCTGCAGAACTCAGTGCTCTCTGTCTCTAGTGGCCAGCTCCACACTGGGGACAAGGCCCTCAGAGCGGGACATTGTTCATGCCCGGGCTGCCCGCATTGGAGACAGTCTCTTCTGAGGCAGAGGCTCAGATCCGGGCTGTTCCCAGATCCTGCCCTCAGAGAAGTTCCCAGCCTCAGGACTGCCAGGAGTGACTACTGGGTGCTGTTAGAGTGAGTGAAAGGTAAAGGTGCCTCGCCAGCTTTGTGACCTCTCCAAGTGATTTGGGAACTTTGCCGATGACTGTTCTGAACTGGCCCTACGCGAAGTGAGCCTTACTTTCAGTAGGTCTGCAAGGAGCGGCTGAGTGCTGTCGAGGGCGAAGCCCAGTTGACAGGCTTTACAAGACATCTGCCTTGTCGCCGTACAGAGGCCCTAGCTGGGGAGTGCCGTCTTCAGTCCCAACTCTTGCTTTTCTCGCCAGACCTCTTGATCTAACTAAGGGGAGAGTCCATGGGGAAGAGGCCTAACTAAAAAACAGCAGGAGTGTTAGAGGCCACGGGGTTGGGGGAGAGGGCAGGCCAGAGCCCTGGCCTTACCTTGTCCCACCCCGTTCTTTGAGACTCCTACCCTGTTAAGCTGTTAGGAGGTTTTAGCTTCTGTCTCAGATATATATAGGCCCAGTTTTTAATAATTGCCCATGCTTTTCTTTTCCTCTCCCACCGTGGGAAACTGGATGTTTTTTTTTTTTTTTTTTTGGAGAGATTTTCACTGTAGGGCGCGTGCGCTCGCCAGACCGACAGAGAGAGACATAGAGAC